TGGTGGTGATGATGGTGATGGTGGTGGAGATTGTGATGGTGGTGATAGTGATGATGGTGATGGTGGAGGTGATGGTATTAGTGATGGTGGTGATGGTGGTGATGGTGGTGATGATGGTGATGGTGGTGATGATGGTGGTGATGGTGATGGTGGAGGTGATGGTATTAGTGAGGGTGGTGATGGTAAGGGTGGAGGTGATGGTGGTGGTGGAAGAGGTGGTGGTACAGATGGTGATGATGGTGGTAATGGAGATGGTGGTGAGGATGGTGGTGAGAATGATGGTGGCAGTGGTGGTGACAGTGGCCATGGTGATGGGGGCAGTGGTGGTGTTAATGTCTCTATTTTGCCATCTCTGCCAATTTTCATATACTGGAACTGGAAAGAAGTTCACTGGGGCCAGACTGAGTGTGTGTCGGGTGACAGAAGGGGTGAGAGGCTTGTATTTGAGTCTCTTTGGCATCAGGGCTACAGGACAAGTATCTCCCACTCTGGCTGGGAAACAGTGGAGTATTTAAAAATAGAATTTTATGAGCCATCAGAGCCTTTCCAGAAACATATCTCCATGGATGGGGGCCCAGCAAAAGTCTTCATTCTGGCCCCACAGCCTCACCCCACTGGATGCTCCAGCCCTTACTCAGGATTTCCCACACCATGAGGGACGCTCCCCGATGGAGAGGGCCTGTCAGCACAAGTGGCCGGCCGCCCTGTCCTGGGGGAGACTCCCGGCATCCTGGCTCTGTGCTGAATGCTTCAGCGCTGACTCATTTCTCCTTTTGACAAGGGATCAGCCCTAGCAATCCCCTCAGCCTACTGACAAATTCCACCAGCCCCTGTATCAGGATTGTACAGTTGCCCAGATACGACCAGCCTGGGACAGGGGGTGCCCCAGACACTGAGGACCCACATCTCATTCGAACCCAGCGAGGTGACCTGCAGGTAGTGTCTTTGTCTCACCATGCCTGTGTCTTTGGCTCTCAAATTGAATAAATAACCCCTTCCTCCCAGCCCTGTGGCCAGAATTGGGGGAGGCATGACACAGAACATAGACATAGATCCTGGCCCGTGGTTGAAGCCATGTTGGTTGACTCCTTTATTACTGGAGGAGCCAAAGACCCAGGCATGGTCTAGTTCAGTACTGTCGATAGAGACAGAAGACAAGCTACCTGTGTAACTTAAAATTTTCTAGTACTCGAATTTTCAAAATATAAAAAGAGGTGGATGAAATAAATTCTAACCATATATTTTATTTAGCTCAATATAGCCAAAATACGAACATTTCCAACATGTAATCAATATAAAAATCACTAATCAGGTATTTTGCATTCTTTTTTTTTTTTTTGTACTAAATCTATGAAATCTGATGTGTAATTTACTCTTATGGCACATCTCAATCCGTATGCTAAATTTTCATTGGAAATACTTGATCTGTGTTTAGATTTCATAAAATATATAGCTGAAAATGTAGATTCATATCCCTAAGTTGTTCCAAATACACATAAAAGTTTTAACGATAACTTAATTGTCTGTATTTAAATTTAATTTTAAGTTAATTCAAATTAGGTTGAATTAAGAATTTGGTTCCTCCATCCCAGTCACCACCTTTCAAGTGCTCAGTAGCCCTATGTGGCAAGGGGCCACAGACAGGACAAAGCTAGTTTAAGACCTATATATGAGAGGCAGGGAAACCGAGGCACACAGGAGGGAAGGGACTTTTCCAGGGTCACATGAGGTCTTAAGCACCAGAATGCAGGGTAGTCTGCGCTTAGTCCTTCCAAGACCACCACTCTCTCCTTCCTGAGGGCCCCAGGATGGTCTAACTGGCACTGCCCTTAGGGACAGAGAATCATCTTCTCCAGTCCTTTTTTGCCACGTTTTGTCCTTGTGCTGAATCAAAGCTGGCCTCCCTGTAATTTCCGTCCACTGACCACCCCAGAGGACACAGCTACCCCTGCCTCAGGGCAGCTGCAGAAATCAGCAGATGGGCATCAGGTGCCTCTGGGTTCGCCTATGTGTTTTCTGGCTCCTCTAAAATCCCATCTTCCTGCCTTTCCTCCATCACAGTTAGTGCCTCCTCCTGTTCCAAGGTGGGGCTATCACCTCCTTCATCCTACAGCATGTACCTCTGTTAATGCAGCCAAAGGGATTGAATTGAACTAGCTCTTTAGTGCTTGCCAAGAATGTAAATGTTCTTCCCAGCTCCCTTTGAGGTTTGGGTCTTGAGGGGACTGTCCTCTGGGGACCATCAGGATGTCTTTTCCAGACCAGAAACACTGCCTGCCTTACCCCCTACATCCCACCCCAGTGTGGCTCAGAGTTGGGATTCTCTTCTCTCCTTTTCTTTTCTCCCTTATCTGTCTTATGCTCACACACGCACACTTATACGCACTCACTCACCCCACTGAGTGGCCCTGACAAGAACAGGGCAAAGGAGAGCAAAGGGATGCCCTGCAAGGGAGGGGACAGAGCAGCCTGTGGGAGGGAGTGGCCTGGGTACCCCAGTGGGAGAGTGGGGGAGGGCAGCTGACCTTCCCGGCACAATGCCCCACTGGGAGGAGCCCCTCCAACCCCCCATCCCCAAGGGAGGGAGCACCTGTCAGTGGGACACAGCCTCGGGCTGGTCAGAAGTGCCCCACGGCATCTCAGAGTTGAGGGAGGACCTCCCCTGCCTGCCTCATGTCATCAGCGGGCACCGGGAGCCCTAGGCATGGAATCAGACAGATCCGCAGTTGAATCAGCGTTCTGGGCCAAGTCGTTTCACCTTTGGGAAGCCCAGGGAGCAAGCCCTGATGGGGCTTCAGGCTCAGGGTGGCTGGGGGGCTGGAACAGCGTGTGGCACATGGCAGGTGCAGAGAGCGGCTCCCACTGGGACAGCCTGGGAGCCTAGCAGTCTTCATGAAAGAGTGGTGCGGCCAGCACTTACTGTGGGCCAGGTGCCTGGTGAGCACGAGAGGCCATCCCCGGGTTGACTTCTCAGCCCCATGAGGCAAACAGGACCCCTGTCCCCACTTTGCAGACAATACCTTCCGTCAGGAAGTTCCCAGCTCGCAAGGTCCCGGGGAGCACTGAGCACAGGGTGGGTTTGGAACCCAGGCAGTCCGCCCTCAGAGCTCCCGTGCTGACGCTCTGCCTCAAGTTGCTCTCATTTCTCACCCTCTTCCTTCCCTCTTTCTCCTCTCAGGGTCCTGAAGGAAAACCGGGGAAGCAAGGCGAGAAGGGCCGGACCGGAGCCAAGGTGGGGTCCCCTCCACTCCCCCACCTCTCTCTCCACCTCCTGCTGGGGCCCCGTGACAGCCTGTCTCTCCTCCCGCTGCAGGGTGCCAAGGGCTACCAAGGACAGCTGGGTGAGATGGGTGTCCCTGGAGACCCTGGACCCCCTGGCACCCCAGGCCCTAAAGGGTCCCGGGGCAGCCTGGGACCAACGGTGAGAACTCAGGGTGGGGTGGGGTGGGGTGGGCAGGCAAAGAGCTGGGGGTGGGGGCAAGGGGAGAAAGAGAGGTATCGCCCTGTCCACCTCTCAGCCAAACCTTGGCTGTCCCTTGTCCTAGCTGCTTCTCTTGCATCATGGATCCCTTGGGGATCCTGTAGAAGCTGCCGCCTCTCTCCCTGGAAAAGTACCCACAGCGCCAAGTATGTGTTTCTGTTTGAAGGGCACTGTGGGTCTTCTGAAGGACTTTACAGACCCAGACAAATAAGCATTCTAGGGTGGGGAGAGGGGACCAGCTCCTTTGGAGGGTTTTTACAGAACAAGTTTTCCCACTGGAAATAGATTCATGAGGATCAGGCTGCAGATCCCTGGGTGACTCTGAGGCCGTCCCAGCCTCTTGCTGGCCTGCCTGGAAGGAGGGCCCCGGGGGTCTGCTGGCTGCAGAGGAAGGAAGCAGAGGGGAGGCAGGCCGGTAAGGCATCTCTGAGCTCCCAGCGTCCCTGGTGTGAATGCCCCCGCTGTGGCTGATCCCAAGCCACCCACGTGGTGTCTGCAAGTGCAAACTTGGGAGGGAGATGCGCGGGAGTGTCTGTCATCTGCTAGTTCCACCACATGCACTCAACAGACAGAAATAAGCTGGAGCCTAGGCAATAGTAAAATGGAGCAAAATTACTAGAAGGGAGGAGTTTTGAATATTTGTCATCTTCGTTTTTAATAGAATTGATTGAACTGTAAGCTCATATAATTTAACTTCCTATAGCTGCTTCTGTTTAAAATTGGCTCACAAAAGTGAAGATGGTTTAGCCACTGGGTCTTGTGAACCCCTGGAGCTGGGAGAAGGAAGGGCTGGAGGGAGGAGGGGAGCTCAGGGAGGAGCTCTGCAGCCTGGGTTCTGGGCCACAGACGTGCCTGTCGGTGGGGCTGGACTGGGCTGGAACCAGTGCCCAGGTCACTGCTGTGAGAACCACCTGTACCAATGCGCGTCTGCTTCTGTCCTAGGGTGCTCCCGGACGGATGGGGGCCCAAGGAGAGCCCGGACTGGCTGGTTACCATGTAAGAAAATCTGCCCCCCCTCCGCCCCAGGCGGGCCTCGGCCTCTGTCCCCACCACCTCCCCGCGGAGGGTGGCCCTTGGGCCACTGAAGATCTCTGGTGGGCAGGGGTGGGCAGACAGAAATACCCTCCCCCTCCACGTGCCCTCGCTGAGTCCTTCCTTCCCACGGTGGGAGCCACACATGCGTCCTGTCCCGGCGTCATGCCGGCTGTCTGTGGAAGGGAAGAGCCTCACCCCGCTTTTGCATCCAAGCTGGCACCCCTCTTAGAGGCAGCTGAGCCAAACCTATGTGATAGAGTTGGGTGACTAGTCCTCAGAGAGGCTCTGGGCCCGCTCAGAAAGGGAAACTGAGGCTTAGGGAGGCTAATGACAGCTTGTTAAGTTTGAAGGTAGGATTCAGTGTCTGAAGGAGGCACAGCAGGGAAAGAAGGACAGAAGAGGGACAGGGCAGAGGACATGGGAACCGGAGAGGGGGCACTGGGAGCCCAAGGGAGGAACGAGCCTATATGCTTCCCGCCATAGCCTGGGGAAGTCGGCTGAGGCCAGCATTTTGCCCCTGCCCCTGCCCCTGCCCCAGGGACACAGCTGGCTCTCCGAGATCTGGCCCCAGGTCTGCTCCAGGCTGGGGTGAGCCACGCCCCCTACCATCCAAGCGGGCCCACCCCTGAGAGGTGTGTCAGGGACTGACTGGGAGGCCAGGCCCCTGAGAGGCATGGGCCGGCTCAGAGTCACACAGTGAGCTGGGGCAGAGCCAGGGCCCAGACTCACAGCTCAGGGTCTCCACCTGGCCTTCATCACTGTGCCTCTCAAGCCGTCACTCCCCCATGCTCTCACCTCTTGCCATCTTGTTTCTTGCAGGGACACAAAGGCATCATGGGCCCCCTCGGACCTCCTGGACCAAAGGGTGAAAAGGTGGGTGCTCAGTCCTGGGAAGCAGGCGCTCCCTCCCGTGTGGGCCGATAGGAGCCAGCCCCTGGGGCACTGTGGCTGGGGTAATGCGGAAGTTCACAGTCGGCTCACCGCTGCTCACACGGCAGAGCCAGAGCCGTTAGACCTACATTCAACACAGATGGCCTGTGTGTCAGGTCGGAGCCCAGCACTGGAACAAAACCACAGTTCCTGCCCGCCTGGGGTTTCCAGTTGAGCAGGGGAGATGGACGCCAATCATGTCCTGACCAGAACTTCAATTCCATCATCTGTGTGAATGTGGGCATTGAAGCCTTGCTCAGAAATGAGATCCCGCAGTGAGAGCCAGCGCAGGGCTTAGGGCAGAGTGAGACCAGCCTTTCCCAGCCAGGAAGGAGCCACTAAGGCAGAGGGAGAACGCGCCCATACCCCACCACTTGGCTCCAGCTTCGGTGGAAGAGAGAAATTGCTAGAAGAAAGCTTGCTGATGGTTGTGCCCTGCCGCACGGTGCAGGTGGGGATGTGGGGCCAGGGGGCCAAGGCAGTGGCCCCGGGTAACCTTCCGAGCCAGCACCAAACTGGCTCTGGGCCCAGGCCTTTGAGTCCTACCTTAGCAGCTCTAGTCTCCCTGTTCTGGCCTCCCTCCTCCCCTGATGGCTCTGCCTCGGGAATGCTTCCTAGCAGGCGGCCCCCTGCTGTCTCCTTGCCCCCACCTCCCCAGCCCTCCTTTTGTGGGCTGAGTCAGCTACTCACTAACCACATTCCACTGCCGCTGCCTTGTGAATCACCCCGGCCTGGCTTGCTGTCCAGCTGGCCCCTTCCTCCTGCTTGGAGAAGAGCTCTGCAATCAGTGGGCTCCCGACATCCCACAGGAAGCTGCGTTCAGTACCCTGAGTCCCCCAGCCTTGGCCCTGAGTCGGCCACAGCTGGCACAAGAGGGGTTAACATGGACCCTGAAACAAGGGGAAGCCTCCCCCCCACCCCCACCCCACCCGAGCCACCTGCAGCCCCAGGCCCAGTTCCTGTGGCTGCTGAGAATGGGATCCTAACCCTAAACCTGCCCTAAGTCTGCTGGGGCCTTGGGTGGGGCCCCAGGGTTCCCTGAGCCTTGATTGCCCCATCTGTTAAGCGGGTGCATACCTCAGGAATGTGAGGCTAAGCAGGATATCACATATATGTCGGCCATAGGCACTTTCTTAGTGATGAGGTAGTAGGTTAGTTCACTCATGCGTTCAGCTATCTGACAGGTATTTATGGATGAATAATAATTATGTAATGTTTTCTCGGCCCTGAGCTGGGGGCTGCAGAAGGATGCCCTAAAGAACTCCAGGGTAAAACTAGATGCAACAGTGAATAGCCAGGCACGAGCTGGAGGGTGCTGGGAGGAGGGGGAGCAGGTTCCCAAGGGACACCCCGAAGCACACAGCCATGTGCAAAGCTCTTCCCTGGGATTCCTCCACGGCCCTCACTGTGAGGTGTCAGTGTCCCACATGACAGATGGGGAAACTGAGTCTCCAGGATGCTTAAGGACTAGTTCAGGACCAGTGGGAAGGTGGCAGGACCAGGATGCAGACTCTGATGTCAGGCTGTGCCTCCCTGACCGGAAACAGGTACTTAGATGAGTTAGGATGCAGCTCACCTGGCGAATTCCCCGAGGGCATGTGTCTACAAAGGTGGTATCTGGAGGGATTGGCCATGAGACTCTGGGAACAAGGAAGAAGGGGGGCTCCACTGGCTTCCTGCTGCTAAAAATGCATCCCTGAACTACAGCCACAATGTGGGGAGAGCGGGGGAGATCTGTATAGCTGGCTTTTGGCTCCAACCACCCACCACTTGATTCCTGTGTGGCCTTAACTAGGACCTTTCTTTCCCCGGGCCTCAGTTTCCTCATCTGTAAAATGGGCCAATAGTCACAGCAGCGTAGGAGTGCGGTATGGATTCTGTGGAACACCTCCCGAAGGGTCTGCCACACAGAGTACACTCAGTAAACACGGCCCCCTTCTCCAAAGTGCCCCAGTCCAGCTGCCTCCGTCCTCGGTGGGACCGAGACTTGGGACAAAGAGCCATAGAGAGAGGTCAGGGAGGAGAGGGAATCCCCGCTCCCTGGTCCACCCCCTTGGGTACAACTGGTTCTAAGCCTCGGGCCAAGTCCCTCCCGCTTTCAGTCTCTGCCCACAGGAGCCACAGAGGCTCTGAGCCAAGGCGCTACAGCTGCCAGCCCTCAGGACTGATTTGCGCCTGGGATGGGCTCCAGCCCCAGGGATGGCTCCCTCTCCTGCCTCTCAGGCTTCCCCTTCCATCCCTGCCAATAGCCAGGGGGCCCGGGGTGCCCCCGCTTGAGCCTCCTACCCAGAATGCGCCCCCCATGGGAGGTGGCACCAGTTGTCGGGCTGGAACATTCTGAGCCCTGGGGTTCTACCTCTTGCTGCTCTGATCACACCTTCCCTGTAGCTGGCACACGGCCTCCCGCCTCCTGTCTTGCTGGTGGCCCAGGGCCCAGGGTGGCCTGCCAGGGCTCAAGGGCCTCCATCCTAAACCCTACTCCTCCTGCAATCCCTCTGACTACATCCACGCCACCCATCGTCCCTGCTGCCATTGTCAACAACAGCTAAGCTCGTGGCCACCTGAGCCCCTACTATGTGGGCAGTAGTGAACTCTCCTCCCTGGGTCCCCAGAACAGCGCTGCAAGGCATCACAATCCCGTTTCGCAGAAAGGAATCTGTCTTATGGACAAAACTCCCAAATTGGCCCACAGCTGAGCTCAACCTGGGGCAGCCCAGCCTGCTTCTGGGGCTGCCATCCAGGATAGAAGATTCCTATTAAAGCTGGCTCTCTGCCTACTTTATTCTAGCAAAGATGGGAGAAAGGGACTCTTTTTCAGGGCTGAACAATGGAGCAGCCCACATGGCTTCTCTGTGCCTCAGTATCCCCATATGTAAAATGGGGAGAATACCATCACCTGTTTCGTAGGGTTGTTGGAAGTATTCAGTGAGTGCCTCTGCCCACCAGCTGTCGGAATTATTGTCACTCCGTGCTGACCACCATGCAGGGACTTTTTGCATCATTTCTCAGAATCCCCACCACTTCCTCCTGGGTATCGCCATTGTCCCTTCACCCCACCTCACCCCCATTCCCCAGCTGAGAAAAAGAGCTCCAAGATGGGAAGGAAGGGACCTGTTGAGGGTCTGAGCTGGTCCTGTGCAAAGCTGGGTGTGACCAAGGTCTCTGCTCTGAGCTGCCTGGGTCTCCCAGACCGAGGGTACCTGTGGTGGGGGGGGGATGCCCAGCAGGGGGCAGTAAAGAGCACTCTCCAGGTTCCACAGCCCTGGTTCCACAGCCCTGGTGTGCCCCTTCCCTCTCTAGCCTCAGTCTCTCCATCTGTAGCCCTAAGTAGACTGGACTTCATTGCTGATGAAGGCCCTTTCCACACTGTGTGGAATGTCTGGAATTCCAGGAACCAGAAGTGTGTCTTAAAGCTGGTTGTGTCCACAGGGGGAGCAGGGTGAGGATGGCAAGGCCGAGGGGCCCCCTGGGCCACCGGGAGATCGGGTAAGCCCCCTTTTCTGTTCCCTGGGCCACCGCCAAGGCGGAGCCCCAGCATCCTGCTATGGGGAGGGGGAGGGGGAGGCTGAGTAGGGGTGAGGCCGCTGCAAGCATCCAAGGGGGTGGCCAGGAAGAGACCTGGTGGCCCATATTTTGTTGCTGTCCTTGTCATTCAGGGCCCTGTGGGTGATCGAGGGGACCGCGGGGAGCCAGGGGACCCTGGATACCCCGTAAGTATCAGAGCTCCTACCCAATGGTAGCATCAGGCACGGCGTGTCAGGGCAGTCCTCTGTCCTTACCGGCTCCCTGGCAGGGAAACAGCCTTGGCCAGGAGACAAGCCCTCCCTCCCACCATTAGCGCCCAGCTTGAAGCACAGACCCCCTGAAGGAGGGCTCAGGCCAGAATTCATGCTGGCCGGGGGAGGGCTGGAGGGAGAGGATGAGGTCAGGGAGAGAGACCCCTTCCTCACAGGACCTCAGTCTCCCCACCTGTGGCCGGGAACAGCTCTCCTGGCAGAAGCAAGAGACAGACCGCTGAGTGAGCACGGGGCCCCCACCAGGCTCCGCTCCCCTCCCCTCCCCTCCCCTGCTCCATCCTTGCTGGCAGGGTCATCATTTTGCTGCTTTGCAGATGAGCAAGCTGAGATGGGGACAATGACACATGGCTAGGAAGAGCAAGGGCTTCGGGGGGCTCTTCCGGGTTGGAAGTTGCCCCAGCCCCTCCAGGATGGGCCCCCTCACCAGTCTCTCCTTGACTTCCAGGGACAGGAGGGTGTGCCAGGCCTCCGTGGAGATCCAGGCCAGCAGGGCCTACCAGTGAGTGGTGCTCCCTGTCCCATCCCCCTCTGGCCCCAGGTGGGTGGGCGGCAGTGGGGGAAGGAAGGGACCCTCCCTACTGGAGGGCCTGGGGCAGTTCACTCTGGTTTTTCCTGCCCTGATGCTGGGGGCACCCCCAGAGCCTACACCCCCAAACCCCTCCCACCCCTCCCCCTCTAGGCGGACACTGGCCACCCTCCCCGGGAGAGAATCCTGGGGCTGCTTTGCATCCTCTCACCTTGGTTTGCAGGGGCATCCAGGACCCCGGGGACAGCCGGGACCCAAAGGATCAAAAGGGGAAGAGGTAAGAGGACTGAAGTCCACAGGGGACCCTGGGAAGGGCGGACACCTGCCCAGGCACCCAGCAAGTAGGCTGGCGGGCGCCCTGCAGGGTGCTTCCAGGCCAAGATCTCTTCGCCTCCAAGGGCCTGAGGGAGGGGGGATCACCTGCCCCCCCTGGCAGGGCCTCCAGGAAGGGGACCACCTGTGGGGCCAGCAGTGGGATTTGAACCCAGGGCAGTCGAGAGCCAGAGCCAGCCAGCCACACCACGCTGTAGAAGAAAATTTGGAGAAGCAAGGGGTCCAGAGGAAGGGGCAGGGGTGGACAGGGATGCTGGTGGTGGGAACTGAGGGGCGGTTGAGGACTTTCCCACCTTGTACCCTGAGCCCTTGTGTCTGCCTCCTCTGAGGTTGGGTCAGTGCTGTCTTCATACGCTCAACCTCCCCGCAGGCGTGTCTCCTTCACCCACACACCATCTCCCCGCCCCCCCACCCCCCCTCAGGGATTTAGCCACACTCTTGAGGATGGAAGGATCTTGAAGCCCAGGCAGCCACGGGCCCCGGCTCCCTCTAGGAAACTGCCAGCCAAGAGCCTCTGCAGCAGGGGAGCCCATGGGGGCGCGGGACCCAGAGCAGGGGTGAGGACAACACTGGCAGGTTCCAAGGCCAGCCCTGCCCCTGGGCTCCAAGGCCAGGGTGCTTGGACCCATTTGCACATTCAGATGCTAAGGCCCAAGGGGTGGAAGGGCAAGGCTGGGCTGCACAGGAGCCCATGCTCCTTTCAGTCCCACTTCCAAATCTCCTAGGGTTCTGTCCCTCGTCCAGGCGGCCTCTGTCATGTGCCCCTTGATTTTTCAGGGACCAAAGGGAAAGCAAGGCAAGGCTGGGGCACCAGGACGAAGGGGGATTCAGGTGAGTGACCCGCAGCCAGTCCCCTCCCGCCTGCCTCCCTGCTCCCCCCTTCAGAGGCTCTCATCAACTTCTTTTATATCCCCAGGGCCTGCAGGGGCTGCCAGGGCCTCGGGGCGTGGTGGGGAGACAGGGCCCCGAGGGTGTCGCGGGACCAGATGGGTTTCCTGGCAGGGATGGGCAAGCAGGACAGCAGGTGAGCAGGACTTGGGGTTAACAGATGGTGTCTCCCTTGGAGACAAGGTGTGTTGTGTGTGTTGGGGTCTGGGGGGCAGGGGTGGTTCTGCCATCGGGCCACGGGCCAGGAGGAGCAGGTTCGGAAACTTGGATGGGGCAGAACCAACATATCTGGAAGTTTCCTGCATGGGCAGTCACCTCATCCCTCGGGACCTGGGAATGTGGCCCTTCTGACCAGCCATGCCTGTACCCAGAAGGCCCTTCCTTGCCCAGGGGATGGCACTTCTAGTTGTAAGGTCCCTCCTCCTCCCCACTTGCACATCTGTTCACTGGTCCCGCCCTCACGCACAGGCAGGATGAACTCCGTCCTGGGGTCTGACCTCCTTCCCTCCAGATCCACCCAGAGCTCATCCTGACTATGAGACATGCTGCTCCTTGGCTGCCTCTGTTTCCTGAAACATGAGAGGTCCTCCTTTGCCCTCTTTTTTACAGGGGGAGCAGGGAGACGATGGGGACCCTGGCCCCACGGGCCCTGCTGGGAAGAGAGGAAATCCAGGTGTGGCCGGCTTGCCTGGAGCACAGGGGCCCCCAGGATTCAAGGTCAGACACCTGTTAGTCCACTTAGCCACCTTCCCTCCTTTCGACCTTGGTACTAACTATAAGACAATGATTATAACGCTGACGTGGGCACCCATGTCCCAGGGCCTGTGTGAAAATGGAGTCCATGGCCCTGACATTTCTCAGGGGTCCCTGTCCCAAGCTTGAGCCTGACTTTAAGGAAAGTTTATCCAGGTAGCTAGAAATCCTGGGCCCTGCCAGGCCTTTGAAACAGGCAACTGGTTATTGAGCTGTCCTTCGGCGCCCTCTAGTGGGCCTTTGTGGATGTGGAACAATAGATGTTGCTTGCAGCCAGGACCCTCTTCCAAAAGGCATGTTTTTAGAAAGTTTCCGAGAGGTGGGGGAGGCAGCCATGAGTCAATCTGAGTCTGGGGCTACACACAGAAGGGAAGATTGAGGTGGGTGCATCAGACATGGCTCCTCTGGCCCTCCCCAAGCACGAGCTTTAGTTGGGGAGAGGCTGGAACCCTCTGCAGGAACAGCCAGCGAGGGGAGGGGTGGCCTTGGCCCAGGGAGGTTTTAAATGTGGAGAGAAGGGGAGGGGGCATCCCAGACAGGAGGAAGGGCTGGAGCAGAAGTGGGGGTGGATGGGAACTTCATGGTCTTCTGGGAGGAAACAGTGAAGAAGAGAGGCAGGGTGGGAGAGTGGAAGGGAAGTTGGAACTTGAATTCCAGAGTAAGGAAAGAGGCTGTCCTCTTAAGGAGACTAAAATTCCGAGCCCCCACCAGGCCTGCATCTGAGCCCCAGCATCCTGAGATGTCAGCTGACCCTGTGGCATCACTATTCTGTCTCTCCTAGGCCCTCCTCCCCTCCCCTAGAACCATTTCCCCCTTTGGTCATTTTGGTATGTGTGTGTGTGTTTTTGGTTTTGTTTTTTAAGGGTGAAAGTGGGTTACCTGGGCAGCTGGGTCCTCCTGGCAAACGAGGGACAGCGGGTGGAACTGGGCTTCCTGGGAGCCAGGGGGAGCCTGGATCCAAAGGCCAGCCGGTGAGTGAGCCCCAGGGAATACAGATGTTCTCATACTCACATGCATGCAAACACATGCGCACACGGGTCCGGAAGCCTCCTGCCTGCTCTGTGACAAGGACAGAGTGACACCCTCTCTGAGCACCAGATACTCCTCCACCTGAGGGGTGGGGGTGGGGAGGGAGGAGGCTGAGACATGAGATCTGAGTGGTCCCTTCAGAATGAGGACAGGTGGTGGATCACCACCTGAACCTGAAACAGCCTCCTATCTAGTAAAGAAATTCAACCTATGGTTTAAAAAACATCTCACAAGGAAAACTCTGGGCTCAGATGACATCACTGGAGAATTCTAGTAAAAGTTAAGGGAAGAAATCATACTGATTCTGTATCAACTCTTCCAGAAAATTGAAGAGGGGGAAATACTTGCCAGCATATTCTATGAAGCTGGCATTACCCTGATATCAAAGCTGGGTAAAAGACATTGCAAGAAAGGTCTAGACCAATATACCTCAGAAATATAGATACAGAAATTCTCAACACAATTTTAGAAAAACCAATCTAAGAATATATTTAAAAGATAGTACATCAAGATCAAATGAGGTTTATCCCAGGAATGCAAGGATGGTATAACATTTGAAAATAAATGAATATAATGCACCATACTAACAAACTGAGAAAGAAAACCCATTTGATCCTCCCGGTGGATGCAAGAAAAGCACTTGGCAAAAATGCAACTCCATTTCTGATAAAAGCACTCAGCCAACTTGGTATGGAAAAGGAGCTTCCTCAACTGGGAAGAGGGCGTTCGTGAAAAACAGACATCTAGCATCATACTTAATAGTGAAAGGCTGAATGTTTGGATTTTTTTTTTTCCAAGAAGTAGAACGAGTCGGAGATACTTGTTCTCACTACTTCTATTCAATATTGTACTGACAATTCTAGCCAATGCCATCAGGAATGAAAAATACATAAAAGCATTCATATTGAAAAGGAAGAAGTGAATCTTTTCATTTGTAGATGAAATTATTGTCTAGAGAGAAAATCCAATGGGATCCATGGTAAAGCTACTAGAACAGGTGAATACAGCAAGATGGTGGGACACCAGCTCAAGATGCACAAAGGAACTGTGTCTCTATATACTAGCCATGGTCAGAACTTGAAATCTAAAAAGCAATGCTATTTATAATAGCAGAAAAGTAGGAAATACTTAGAGATACATATGACACTAGGTGAACAAGACATGTGCATTGAAAAACTGCAAAGCATTTCTGAAATGGGGACGACTTAAATAAATGGAGATGCTGTGTTCCCTGGTCAAAGACTCAGTATTGTTCAGATGGCAGTTCCCTCCAGTTGGTGTGTGGATTCAACCCAATCCCAATCAAAATCCCATCAGGCCTTTCTCGTGGAAAATAACAAGCTGAGTCTAACATTTTTATGTGGAAATGTGAAAGGCCTGGAATAACCAAAGCAAGTTGAAAAGAGAAGAGTAAAGTTGGGAGACTCACAGTAGTTGATTTCAAGGCTTATTATATAGCTACAGTAATCAAGAAGGTAGGGTACTGCCATAAATATACTAATAATAGTTCAAAGGAACAACATAGAGAGTCCAGAAATACATTCACACGTACTTGGATAACCGCTTTTTGACAAAGTTGCAAAAACAACTCAGTGGTTACAGAATAGTCTTTTCTGGCAAGTGGTGCGGTGACAATTGGATACCTTATACCATGTACAAAAATAAACTCAACATGGATCATACACCTAAAGGTAAAACCCAAAATGCTAAGACTTTTAGAAGGAAGCAGAGAAGAAAATCTTTGAGACCTTGGGTTATACAAACGTTTCTTAGATATGACACTAAAAGCATGATCCGTTAAAAAAATTGATAAATTGGGCTTTATCAAAATTTAAAGCTTTTGCTCCTCAAAGGACAGACGCTATTAAGAGGATGACAAGACAAGCTACATACTAGGAGCAGGTGCAAATTATAGATCTAGTAAAGGATTTGTATCTGGAATATGTAAAGAACTCTCAAAACCCAATAATGAGAAAAGAAGCAGCCCAATAAAGAAATTAGGCAAAAAAAGAGAAAGAAATTAGGCAAAAGACTTGAACAGACACTTCTGAAAAGATTGTTCAGATGACAACTAAGCACATAAAAGAAGCTCAATATCACTAGTCATGAGGCAAATGCTCATTAAAACCGTAATGAGATGCTACTGCACACCTGTTAGAATGGTAAACATTTCATTGTTTCTGGAGATTTTATTTATCTGAGAGAGAGAGAAAGAGCACAAGTAGGGGGAGGGGCAGAGGGAGAGGGAGACAAACAGACTCCCGGCTGAGCAGGGAGCCCGATGTAGGGCTCCATCCCAGGACCCCGAGATCATGACCTGAGCCGAAGGCAGATGAGTCACTGACTGAGCCACCCAGGAGCCCCAGAATGGTAACAATTTTAAAAGAGTGAACAGACCAAGTGTTGGCAAGGATGTGGAGCAACTGGAACTCTCCTCCTCTGCTCACAGGAATGTGAGATGGTACAACCGCATTGGAAACGGGCTGGGCAGTTTCGTTAAAAGTTAAGCATGCCCCTGCCATAGAATCCAGGCCTCCAGAATTGTTCACACCCGATCACTCCCCGCAATGGCATCTGTGTGAATATGAGCAAGTTCCTGCTCTCTGTGAGACTCAGTATTCTCATCTGTGAATGGGGTGCGTGGTGCCTCCCTGGGCGGAAGTAGGAACTCGTATGCGTGGTGGTCCATGCAAAGCCCCTGGCACGTAGAGTCCCACAGCTAATGGGCTTATTCTGAGGGACACAGTCCTTGATAGAGCCTTTGTGATGGGGGAAAGAGCCTGCAGGTCCTTTCCTTCTCTTCCTTGAAGACCTGGGACAGGAGGTCCTAAGTGTTCTAGAGCCTTCCTCATGGAATCCCTGAGCTGGCCTCCACTGTCTCATGTGACAGAGGGCAGAGGCCCCTGCCCCCTCTGAGCCCAGGCTGACTGGTGTCTAGTATGTGAGCTGTCCACCCTCATCTGATTGCCTAGAGATGGAGTCGCTAATATCCATGGGAGGAGGCAGGCCCAGGGGTCCTGGGTGATTGGCTGGGCGTCCTTGTCCTGGCCCCACTCACCCCATCTCATTCTGCTCTCCCCGCAGGGTGACTCTGGCGAGATGGGCTTCCCCGGAATGGCTGGCCTCTTCGGACCCAAGGTACAAATTCCCACTCCTTACTGTTCCTGTTGGGGTTCCATCCATCCACCTCCTTGGTCGTTTATCCATGTATTCACTCAACAAAGATTTCTTGAGCACTTACAATGGGGGCTGGAAAGCCGCCAGAATCGAGCAGGAACATCCTCGGTCCCCAGAACCCACAATCCAGCAGACCTGGGTTTTAAGCCTGGCTCCTCAGTTTACCTGCTCTGAGCAGTTTACCTGCTCAGATGTTTACTACATCTTTTGCAGTAAAAGATGCAAATTACTTTGTATCTCCAAGCCTCAGTTTTGTCAGCTGTAAAATGGGTAGGATAACTATAGAGGGTTGTAACAAGGAAGTAAGAGCAGAGCTTACACCATATAGCACAGAGCCAGCACGCTAGTACCTGCTTAATAATTGCGGACATTTGTTACTCTTCCTGGAACCTCTCAGGTAAGGCCTCTCTTGACAGGGAGGACAAAGTGTGGCCAGCCCCCAGGGGTCATGGAGCTGCTGGAGGCCCGACCCAGTGGCCACCCAGACACAGACAGCCCTTCCTCTGCCTCCCACAGGGCCCCCCTGGAGACATTGGCTTGAAAGGCATCCAGGGCCCTCGGGGGCCCCCTGGCTTGATGGTGAGTCCTCTCCTGGTCTGTCCTAGCGGGGACAGTCGCCCAGGCCCAAGGCTGGCCAGCCGTCAGCTGGGTGGATGCCTGCCCTGCTCCTCTGCTCTTTCAGGCTTGAGCCCCCTCTGCCCAAGGCCTCCATCCCCGTTGGCATCCCCTTGCTTCTGCCGGTCCTGCTAGCTGGGCTGCCACCCTCCCCCTTTCTCCTCCCGTAGCCCCCCAAAGGCACTCGGGGCCCAGAATGTGCATGGCCTGGCCCCTGCTTGAGGAAGTCTCCCTTCCATCACCATGGGACACTCAGCTGCCATCTCCTCTCCTGTCTCCGTGACTCTGTTTCCCAGGCCCTGGGATGAGGACACACAAACCTTTCTCTCCTTTAGGGAAAGGAAGGCATCATTGGGCCCCTCGGAATCCTGGGACCTTCGGGACGCCCGGTATGTGTAGGGGGCTGGCCAGAAAGACTATGGGGGCAAGCTTGTCTCTGTGACCCAGGGCCAGCCTGAGCCTCAGTTTCCCCATCTGGGAAATAGAACTTCCTCTCTGAGTCCTCTGTTATGGGGCATGATTTATTGCAGGGTCCAAAGGGTGACAAAGGCAGCCGAGGGGACTGGGTGAGTTGATGGGCTGCTGAGGCGGTGCTGCAGTGGTTGGGGGAGGGGGAGGGGAGGGCTGGGAGGGGGGGGGGGGAGGGCTGGAGGGCAAGGCTCAGCCTCATTCCCTGACTGTCTCTCTCTGCTTCTGTCCTCCTCCAGGGATTGCAAGGTCCGAGGGTGAGTGGGCTGCGATACGGGGGCTGGTGGGCTGGGGCAGTGGGGCAGGGTGGGCCCTCTGGGTTCCCCTGCCCATGACCACCGAAGTCCTCAGGCATGTTCTTTCCCTCTGGACCTCAGTCATCCATCGGTACCCCTCTGTGCTGGAGGCACCACTGTCTCAGGGTCTCGGATCAGCTCGAGGAGGCCTGGGGTGGGGAAGATGGAAGGCCTTTGACCAAGGCCTCACTGTTCTTCTCTTCCTCCAGGGTCCTCCTGGTCCCAGAGGGCGGCCTGGCCCACCGGTAGGTACTTGCGCTCAGGGCTCCTGGAACTCCAGGGCAGGAGGTGGAGCTTTGAATGAGACCCAGGGCTTTGCTGGCAGGTGCTTGTCTTGGCCCTGACCTCACAAGCTTCCCCAGACTTCTAGGAGAGCATAGAGTAGCCCTGGCTGGACCAGGCCTCTAGAAGAGCAGAGACCAGTTTTACACATCCTCTCGTGCCTGGATGGCCCCTCCAGGCTCCTGACAGCCCCTGGGACTCCCGCACCCAGTCCCTCTCAAATAGTGACTGAGCCTCTTCTTTTGCAGGGTCCGCCAGGGAGCCGTATCCACTTTGTAAGTTGGAGAATGTTCTCTTTTGCCTATTTGGGGTAAGGCCTGGGAGGGTGGGGGGGCGGTTGGCAGCTGACCTCTTTTCTGGGTCACAATAGCTAGAACCCTAAGCTAGGCCCAGGGATGCCCGTGAGCTTTTGTCCTTCCATCCCGGACCCTGGACTCTACAGCAGCAGAAAGAGGGTAGGGATTCCCGGTTTTAGGCAGGATGCACCCCTGACTGTGAACCCAGGAAGCCGATCCAGTGGCTGCGCTCCTGGTCCTGTCAGCACCCTCGGTACAGAACGGCTAATTGCCGAAGGTCTAAATAGGTTCTGGTGTCAATTCAAGCTTGGGGGGGGTGGGTGTTCCCCATACCGAGGAACACTTGTGGGACACCAGCTGGATGTCCTGCAGTTCGACTCAGTTCTGACACTGTGCACCAGGACAAAGCATTCACAATCCTACAGGACTCCTTCCCCATCCTGCCCACCCCAGATGCCAGCTTGTCACCTGCGCTTCTGACCGACTGAGGTTCCCATGCCCCTCACCGGCATCAGGGAATGTGCTAGAGCGCCTCTTAGATCAGAGAAATATATCACTTACTAGCTTACTGGTTTATTATAAAAAAATAATAACAATAACTCAGGAACAGCCCGATGGAAGACAGGCACAGGGCAAAGCGTGAGGCAGGGGCTCACAGCTCCCAAGCCCTCTTCCAGGTGGGCACTCTCCCCAAACCTCCATGCGATCACCAGCTGGGAAGCTCTCTGAATACCACCCTTTTGGGTTTTCATGGAGGCTTCATTACATAAGCATGATGGATGAAAGCACTGGCCACTGGTGATTGATTCAACCTCCATCCCTGCTCCCTTCCTCCCGGAGGTGAGGGGTCGGGACTGAAGTTTCCAAGCCACCTATCACAAGGTTGCTTCCCTGGGCAATCCAGCCCCTATCCTTTGGTTACCTAGGGGCTTTCCAAGAGTCACCTCATTAACATGACAAGACTTTTATGGGATTTTAGGAGCTTGGTGCCAGGAAGAGGGTCAGAGACCAAATCTCTATTATAAATCACAGTATCCCAGAGGGTGTCCTCAGATTCTGAGTCCAAAGAGGGTCAGACTGGAGGAGGAAGGCTGTTTTCCTCCCTGGTGGGTACGTCCCTGAAAGTATGGCCCCTCCCAAGCCCCCCTCTCCCCCACACCCAGGGATCCCTCCCTGTGTTACCACTGCACTGGTTGAGGGTTACAGTGGGGCCCTGACAGCGTTCCCCCCCACCCCCACCGCGGTGGCTGAGGGGAACTGAGCAGGAGCCCTTGGGCCACAAGCCACTCGGATTCTCTGCTCTCCTAATCTCTCAGCTTCTCACTATCCGGCCCCCCAGGCATCGTCCACGAAAATGAACTGTTGGCCCTGGCCTCCCCTCCACACCTTCCCTAGCCCTTCTCATCACTAAGGAAGCCAGACAGCTAGGGCAAAGTGAAGAGACCCAGAAAAAACCCTTTTCCTCTCAAAAAAAGGAAAATTCGAGGATTTTGAATTTTTTGCACGGTAGCGGACATACTGAGTGTTTGTGATAGGTGGACACTGTTAGGCGTGCTCCTCCTGGATTAGCTCACTTACTCCTCTCAAGGTTCTGAGAGTGTTACTCTCATGCCCATTCTGAGGATACTGATGCAGAGAGACGGTAAGCAACTTGCCCAGATCCTGCAGTTAGCAAGTAGCAAGGCTGAGATTTGAACTTGAGAAATACCTCTGGTGTCTGGGCTCTGGACCTCTTGGGCTTTACTCAACGTCACAGTGTCCGTGTCACTGTTTTCACAGCAAGACCGCCTCTGGCAAGCCCCCTGCTAGGGCTGGAGGCACAAGTATGAGATAGTTACACAGAGAAAGGGGCTGCACCCAGCTTGGGGGCGAGAGCACCAGGAGAGAGTTCCCATGGAAGCTGACATCTGTAGGATGAGTATAGGGCAGGGTTTCTCAACTGCAGCACTTATGGACACTTGGGGACCAGGTGGTTCCTTGCTGCGAGTGATTGTAGGATGTTTAGCAGCATCCCTGGCCTCTGCCCACTAGATGTCAGGAGCACCCCGTCCTCCAGTTGTGACAGCCAAGTCTCTAGATATAACCAAATGTCCCCTACAGGGCAACATTGCCCCTGATTGAGAACCACCAGAAGAGTAGATAGGCAGATGGAGCATTGGAGGGAAAGAAGAATGTTCCAGGCTATGGGAACAGCATGTGCAAAGGCCCTGTGGCCAGACAGAGCATGCTGCTTAGCAACTTAGCAGTACAATAGTGTGTCTGGTGCATCGAGCATATGTGGGCAACAGAAGAGAGGCTGGGCCAGAGGCCACAGCACTCAAGCCAGGTCTTATAACCACATGGAGGAGTTCGGACTTAATACTGTGGGTCATGAAGAGCTGTGGAAGTGCCTGGAGAAAGGGAGTGGATGGGTCAGCTCTGACTCTCTTTGTAAGTGGGGGAAGGACAGAGAGTTACACAGAAGGCAGGTGACTTGGCCCAGGAAGGCGGGTGGGCGAGCTCCTCCTCAGACCCTGGGGCTTTCTCTCTCTTGGTGAGTCTGGTGATCCTGGGGTTGAGTGGTAGGATACACACCCTGTCTTCTCTTTGCACAGCAGCAAGATGACCTGGGAGCAGCTTTCCAGACGTGGATGGACACAAATGGAGCACTGAAAGCAGAGGTACCCCGAGACCACTGCCCACATGGGATCCCTTCCCGGGGGAGACAGAAGGGACGGCTCGCATATAGTCAGTGCCCTCCACGTGGCCTGCCCCGAGAGTTCCATAGCTCATTGGTTTCCTGCGCCGGGGCCTGGGCAAAGTTGATACTAAGTCGGCTCTCAGGATTCACAGTCCAGGGAAAGGGCAGCCTGGAAGAGCCCATTGTCTTCTTCCAGCCTGGGGGTGGTCAGTGTAAAGACCTCCACTGACCCCTTCTGGAGGGATTTGGGGCCACTGCGGAGTGTCCTGTACCCTCGCAGCCCCCACCCGGTTCCTGGCCCCCAGTTTCCTTATCTGTCCAGTGAAAGGAGCCCCATCATGCCCCTAGGAACTTGGGCCAGGCCAAGACCCCCTCTCTCTTCACGACAGGGTTACAACCATCCAGACCGGCTGGTGCTGGACCAGGGAGGGGAGATCTTTAAAACCTTACACTACCTCAGCAACCTCATCCAGAGCATTAAGACGCCCCTGGGCACCAAAGAGAACCCCGCCCGGGTCTGCCGGGACCTCATGGATTGTGAGCAGAAGATGGTGGATGGTATGAGGGCTTGTGGGGTCTGAAGAGAGGGCTTCTTGCCCCAGGGGTGGAGCAGGCGGTGCAGGGGAGTTCCAGGAGGGGCTGAGGAGAGGGACCATTCAAGTCTTGGCTCACTGGGGCCAAGTTTCTGTCCTTGGGGAGGCAGGCACATGAGGCAGTCCCTTATCTGCTCAGCAGTCACTGAGCCACACCATATGGCCAACCTTGTGCCTCCTGGGGTGTAGGTGAGTGGTTTTACCCTTTCAGAGCCTGCAGATCTACAAGCTGGGGACAACCATTTCAGTGCAAGGAGACAAGAGCTTTGGCAGGACAAGCCCCCAAGGGCCAGGAGGGGACAGGGGGCTGGGGGAGGGGGCTGCCATGGATGCCCTGAGAGCCAGGATTTCACCCCTTTCTGTCCACACCTCTTCCCTCCACTGACAAGAAGGTGGACCAGTGGCTGGTTGTCCCACTCTTTCGGCTGTGGGGCCTTTGGATCCCTTGGAAGCCCAGTGGGGAAACCAGATGCCCGCACAGGTGTCCAGTGGGTGGGGTGGAGGCCTGATTTACCCTCCTCCCCCAAGCAAGCCCCTAGGAGGATCACTAGCCTTGGGGGAGAACCCATTTAACTAGATGAGCCCGAAATGCCTTGGGCTAGTGATTCAGCCTCTCTCAGGCCTCAGCTGCCCCCTCTGTAAAATGGCCCCTTCACAGTAGCAGTGTGGGCCAGTGCTCAGCGGAATGCCCCCCCCAGGGGCTCTGCCCACTGTGAACTCTGCCCACAGCCTGTCCTTCCATCTCAGTGGCTCCTGGAATCCTTTCCCGACTTCAGGCCCAGCTGGGCTCAGTGGGTCCCAAGGTTTGGGGTTCACCTGCAGAACTGGGCCCTGGGCTCCCTCCCCCTCACATACCTGTACCATCCCCCCTCCACACCACCTGCAGGCACCTACTGGGTGGATCCAAACCTTGGCTGCTCGTCCGACACCATCGAAGTTTCCTGCAACTTCACCCATGGTGGACAAACGTGTCTCAAGCCCATCACGGCCTCCAAGGTACCTGTCTCCTCCCCATCCACCGCCGACTGGCCCCCTCTACACCCACCAGGCCCTGGGCCACCGCCCACCCAAGTTTTGGTCTGAGCCTTGACTGTCCTGCTGCGTGGCTTCTTTGTGACCCTCCATTTTCTCATCTACGAATCGGGGGATGAATTGTTCTAAATCCGTGGTTTCTACACCCTTTCGAGATATATGATGTTAATGGTTTTTATTTCAAATAGAACTTTCAGCCAATATCTAAAACAGCATAGTTGGGGCTCCTGGGTGGCTCAGTCGTTAAGCGTCTGCTTTCAGCTCAGGTCATGATCTCAGGGTCCTGGGATCGAGCCCCGCATCGGGCTCCCTGCTGGGCGGGAAGCCTGCTTCTCCCTCTCCCACTCCCCCTGCTTGTGTTCCCTCTCTCACTGTGTCTCTCTCTGTCAAATAAATAAATAAAATCTTAAAAAAAAAAAAAAACCCAAAACAACAGCATAGTTGGCCAAGCTGGCCGGGCTTGGAGAACCAGGAACCATCAGTACAAGCTAAGTCATGGTGCCCAAGGTGTGTATGCAGGGTTTAGCTAATGTTTGATGTCTGCTTTCCAAGTGCCTGTCTCTGGGCTGAGCGCTTGAGGTAGCTCAGGGCAGCTCAGCAGCAAGCCAGGGCGGGCGGCGGCCGTGGGGTGCCACCGCTCCCCCACCCAGGGTACCCCATGGTGGATTGTGGGTCTGCAGGGGCGGCAAGTCCTCCATATGGGAGGATTCAGGCTCCAGGGAGAGGAGCCCACCTGCCTGTAGGGGAGGTGGGGACCCAGAGACCCATCCCATCCCATCAGCCCTCCTGGGGAGGCTCCAGGAGGTGCCTTAGGCTGACTGGGTCAGACCCAGGTTTTGAGAATCTTTGTGTGGGCCAGCTGGTCAGCAAGTCTTGCTGGGTCCCTACCATGTGCCAGACACTGTATCAGGCACTGGGATTCAACAGGAAACACAGTAACCTCACCAGTGACCCTCCAGCCAGGCCCTTTCCCCCTCTGACTCTGACTCTGAGCCACACCCACCTGGCAGAGGGGGGAGGCCTGAGTGGAGGCACGTGCATGGGTGGCCATCCCCATCGCAAACAATGGCCACCATTTTGTACCGGTCTCAGCCTATAAATTACCAACATGGTGGCTGGACCAGCCCTTGTGGGTCTTACCATGATTGCAAGATGTCCTTCACGATCAAGAAACTTTGAAAAAATAAAGGTTTGTTTACTTACAGGACCTGGAAATTACACAGCACACCGGGGCCACCCAGCCAGCTTGCTGGGGGAGAGAATGAGTGTGCACGAGCCTGGGATTCTGCTTTTGTTGCGGTCCAGGGTGGGGGGCTTAGGGCTTCCTGGGCTCACTCTTAATTGGTGAATTTAAAACATGACAGCGGGGATTTAAAGTACAGGAAGAGGAAAAAAAAAAAAAAAAAGGTGGTCCAAATGGCCAGCTTTGGCAATCTTGAAGTCTAAAACAAAGGAGGCTCAGCGCGGAGGCCACTGGCGGGGCTTTTCATTTATTCGAGATCGCAAGCTTTTTGAAGTGGATGCCTAGGCAATCAAAGCGTCAATCAGGCGCTTGCATTACACAAAGAAAAACCAACCGTCTGGGCTTTCAGGGCACTCACTGAAGCCATAAATCCCATCCTTGTTTGAGGTCACTGCCATTTCTGGCGTCTTGGAACTTTTCTGAGGGTTGGGGAGGTCACTTCTCATTTCTCCTGCACTTGAAGAGCCTCTTGATCTTGCGCTAGTTCCTCTTTCTCTCCGGGCTTTGGGTTCCCAACTCAGCTCCAGAGAAAACCCCCACTCCCGGCACCCATGCAGTGGGGGGGTGGATCAGGTGACTTAGGACCCTCGTAGATCCGTCTCTGCACTCAGGCTGGCCTTGGTGCTTTCCCTTCCTTGTTACTCCTTGGCTGTGGACCGGTTCACACAGACCTCAATTTCCCTGTGTCTCCAGTGGGCACACGTCTGGGAGCAAAGCTGGGAAATGCTTGCCAGGAAAGAGCTTCTCCCTGTGCCCTCCAGAGTGAGGGGAGGGTTTCTGAGAGCCTTGGGCAGCCGGCCTGACCCTGCCTCACTGCTGCGTCTCTGCCACAGGTCGAGTTTGCTGTCAGCCGGGTCCAGATGAATTTTCTGCACTTGCTAAGCTCTGAGGTGACACAGCATATCACCATTCACTGCCTTAACATGACCGTGTGGCAGGAGGGCACTGGCCAGACCCCGGCCAAGCGGGCTGTGCGCTTCCGGGCCTGGAATGGGCAGATCTTTGAAGCAGGGGGTCAGTTCCGGCCAGAAGTATCAATGGATGGCTGCAAGGTAAGCCTTGGGGCCCCTCACAGGCCTCTCATGCATGGACAAGTTGAAAAGATGTGTTTTTATTATAAAATAGTATATAAGAGTTCGTGTAATACATACTAGTATGTTACATTAGTATATTAGTATCATATGTGGTATTAGTATAATGTTAGTAAAACATATCATTATTATCTTTGTGTAATAATTTTATTATAACGGTTTCATAAAACCCTTTTTATTCACTATCCTCTCTGGGAAACTTCTGAGAGAAAATCCAGCCATAAAAATTCCACAGGCTGATAGATGCTCTACTTACTTGTGAGGCTGCTTGTTAAAGAATGTATTTCTATTCTCTCTGCCCCCATCCTGGCCAGGCTAATTTCGTCTGTTAACATTTTTGGTTATTTTTAAATACCTAAGATTGGGTGGGTTGTTGGTGGAGAGGGAGTCAGAAAATTGTCCAAAAAACTAGCTTCGCAAGATTAAACAAAACTAGTAATACACAATGCTAGTGAGGATATGGGGAAACCAACACTCTAGCACAAAGCTATTTGGGAAAAAATTGGTAGAGGCTTTCAGGACAGCAGCTGTATAAATATAGGGATACCTCAGAGATATTGTGGGTTTGGTTCCAGACCACTGCAATAACGTGAATATTGTAATAAAGTAAGCCTAATTAATTTTTTTGGTTTCCCAGTGCATGTAGGAGTTATATTTACATTATACTGTAGTCTATTAAGGGTGTAATAGCATCATGCCTAAAAAAAAAGGTCCATATCTTAATTAAAAAATATGCCACGTAATCACAGATCACAGGCCGCCAAAACAAATGTAAAAATGCTGGAAAAGTTTGAAATGTTGTGAGAATTATCAAGATGTGACGCAGAGACGCAAAGTGAGCAAATGCTGTTGGAACAATGACACTGACAGACTTGCTCGATGCAGGGTTGCCACTGACTGTCAGTTTATCAGAAACACAACATCTGGGAAGGTCAGGAAATGTGGTGCAATAAAACGAGGTATGCCCGTATATCCAGCGTATACGCTCAGCCTCAGAAATGTATGTATCCTTCCATCCAGCTGCTTCTAGAATTTGTTCTAGGGAAACAAGAAGTGGAGAAGAGCGTGCACAGAAGTTTAGCTACGGTGACATTGGTTACAGCATTCCTTACCAGAATAGACATAGTAGCAGCAATCGAAGTGGACCAATACAGGTCTTTGCTTCAGTGAGATGCCATGTATCCCTTACAAACGGTGAGAAAGATGATGGGGACATGCACACGTAGATGATGAGGTTTGTGATGGTTTCATGTGTACCCCTTTCCTTCTCTCAGGTCCAGGATGGGCGCTGGCATCAGACGCTTTTCACCTTCCGGACCCAGGACCCCCAGCAGCTGCCCATCATCAGCGTGGACAACCTCCCTCCTGCCTCATCAGGGAAGCAGTACCGCCTCGAAGTTGGACCTGCGTGCTTCCTCTGACCTCTGACCTCCTGGCTCCTCTAGGCCTCGAGGGGGAGGGAGAAGGAGGGGACCTAGGGGCACATGGGCCCAGGAGAGGCAGCTCACCTGCCCAAGGATCCTTGGGTAGGCCCCAGCTGTTGTCTGCCCGGTAGAAGTGGCCGGGGGGGGGGGAGGGGTGGCAGGGAACTGGGTATCCTTGGGACCAACTGATCCCAGCCCCAAAGACCAACCAAAGAGCCAGCCAGAGCAAGCTGGGCCTGCAAGCTGCCTGAGCCCCGCGGCCTGTCTCCCAGCCCCGCGGCCAACCCCTGTCCTCCCCAGCTTCCTGCCCAAAGAGCCCCATGTTCCAGCCAGCTTGAGGGGAGGGGGCATCTCTCCAGCTGGTCCCTGCCAGGGAGCTTTGATGTGCAATATTAGAGAGGAGACATGAAAAAGGAGAAAAGGAAAGAAAGAAGTATATATATTTTATTTAAACAAACACAAAGAAGGTGCATTACTATTTCTTCACCCGGGAAAGAGGTGGGAGAAGAACCAGCCAGAGGGTGGGAAGCGGTGGAGGCCGGGAGGGGGTGGCGCGACCCTCGGGGCTGGGGCCCCCGTGCTAGCTACCTCCCACTGTGAAATCGCTGGTGCTCGCAACTGTCTCGTAGTGTATGTGATTTTTTTTAAGGAAAAAAAAAAAAGCCTATTTAAGATTCTGAAGGTGCTACCATTTTTGCCACAGACTTTGAAGAACCATTTTGATGTGGGGTATCATCCACATTTTGCTCTCTCCTCCAAATGAGAAAGTTGGGGGAATCTAAAAATGTTCCTAGTATCACCCTTTTGCTCATCAGGTAATCGACTAAGTGGGGGGAGGGGAAGGAAAAAGGAAAAAAAAATGCGAAGCCGAAAAAAAAAAAAAGAAGAAAAAAAAAAACCTGCCAGAAACAGAAGCAGGAAGATTTACCTTTTAATTTATGGACTTTGAAATATTTGTCCTCTTAAGGCAGGAGGAGGCCTGAGCGTGAAGGATTTTGGCCTTGGCCTCTCATGGCCCTGGAGGGAAATTAGGCTTATCTTGGAAGGTGGGATCTAGACTGGAGAGTCATGGGAGAAGACCTGACCTTGAAGAAACCAGTTGTAAGAGCCGTGTTGGGTCAGTGCTGGCCTTGGAGGTGGAATATCAATTTGGAGCCATCTTACAAGGCCCCATACCATTCCCTAAGATCCTCCCTTCCAGGAACTTGTCCCTTCCAAGATGTGGCCATCACTCTTGCTTTTCCATCGTCATTAAATTTTCTAGAAACCTGGCGTCATTAGCTCCAAGTATAAATGTGGGCTGAGGAGAAAGAATAAATATGGGGATCTCGGGGTTCAGTGTGATGGGGAGATTCAGTGTCATCTGAGTTGTCCTCTATCAGAGAACAAGTCAGCGCCCAGGTTGGATTTTGAGGTTATTTTAAGTATGGAATTATTTTTCTAGAAGGGGAAATTTTATGTGAACGTCTATCTGTGTCTTGTTTTTTTTTTTTTTTTTTACCTAAAGTTGTGTATCTTTGGGAATTGGATTTGATTTTTATTATTTAATACCTCAGTCCGGCCCACCTTCCCCACCAGACACTTCTGTATGCCTCGCCATCCCGCCCCAGCAAAGACGCTCCCCGCGGAAGTGTGTTGTAGCAGCTCGGGCCTCATCTCAGCCCTCGCTCCCCCCCCCCCCCCCACCCCCCGGCCAGTCTCCACCTGGCCTCTGTCTCGTTCTTGGAATTTTCTGCTGTCCTCGTTTATGTCTGTCCACATGTCAGTGTGTTAAAACCCCAGTGGGTTCTGTTTCTCCTTTTCCCTTCTGGATTTTAAATAAATATTTAAAACTGAGGCAATGGAATGATGCATCTGTGGCCGTGTGTTTTTAAAAAGCCCGGAGGGAGGTTTCTGGCCGGGCTGGGGAGAAAAGATGCTCAGAGGATGCTGCTTCCCCTGAAGGAGGTGGGTAGGGGGAGATACGGCACCAGAGCAGGGGGAGGGGAGTGAGTGCTAAAGGTGAGGGGGTCCAGGTCCCATGGCGTATCCGTTTCTTAGGGTTGCTGGTAATAGTACCACAAACCTGGAGGCTTAAAACAGCAGAAATGCATTCTCTCCCAGTTCTGGAAGCTGGAAGTCTGAACTCCAAGTGGTGGCAGCGCCATGATCCCTCTGGTGCTTCTAGGAGACAGTCCTTACCTCGGTCAGCTTCTGGTGGCCGCAGGCGTTCCTCAGCTCCTAGCTGGAGCAACGCAGTCGCTCTGCCTCTGGAGTCACATGACCTTCTTTCTCCCGTGCAGCTCCGTGTTCCCATCTTTTTATAAGGACACCAGTCCTATCGGATGAGGACCCACCCTAATAAGCCCATCTTGACTTGATTACACCTGCAAAGACCCTATTTCCATGTAAGGCCACATTCACAGGTAATAAGCTTAGGACTTCGACATATGTTTTTGGGGGGACACAATACAACCCATGACACACAGGGAGGAGGTATATTGAGGTTAACATGAACAATTCCTTTTTTTTTTTTTTAGCGTAGTAACATAGGAGACTTACCATTCATGACATTTAGTATATTCACCATGTACAAACTGTGCAACCATCTAGTTCCAGAACATTCTCAACGCCCCAAAAGGAAACTCCATACCTGTGAAGCAGTCACTCCCCATTCCCCTCTGCCCAAGCCCCTGGAAAAGCACTAACCTGCTTTCCAACTTTGCCTGCTGTGGATATTTCACATCAAAAAGAATTCTATTTCAGATCAACAGATTCCTGTTTTGCAGATGGGAAAGTTCATTCAATTCAACGTCTGTTCCCAGCGCCCCCCCCCCCCCCCCCCGCCAAGAAAGCTCACAATATATGACCTTCTTTCGGGTAACATGATTTCAAGCTTCATCCTTGTGGTACGTACCCATACAGTACTTCATTCCGTTTTATGACTCGATAATGTTCTAATATATGGATGTACCACGTTTTGATTATCCATTCATCCACTGATGGACATTTGGCTTGTTTCCATCTGGAGGAGCTTGTGGCCAGTGCTTCAAAGTGAGCATTTCTTATCTATGAGATTCTTGAGAGAGGCCAGGACAGCACCTGCCTGGGAGGGAGGGAGAATCTGAGAGATCGTTAGCCAGATTTAGCAAATACATATACAGGACCACACAGATAAATGTGAATTTCAGATACATAATAGCAATATTTTAGCATAGGTATGCCCCCATGCGATATCTGGGACATGTTAGGACATATTTATACCTGCTGGACCTGGCATGTGTATCTCCTGGCCTTGGTTTGGAGTTCTTCCTTTCTGAGCTTGGTCCTCCCACCCTGGGACCTTGCATAAACCAGAGCTTTGCTGCCCTTCTCCCCTAGGAGAAAGAACAAATCATAAGCGGTTGAATTCATAGCTGGAATTTTCTTTAGTTTTAAAACTTTGCTATAAGTTTCCAGGTTTTCCAGGTCACCAGTGCACATGCAGCCGGGTTCCCCCTCCCCTCCACACCCTGGCACCTGCCCCAGGCACCAGGTGGACTCGGAGAGTCGTGTCCGCAGAGCCCAGAATTCATGGTCTGGAAGGGCTTGGCGATTCCCACCGCCCAGATACACCCTGTCATTTTACGTAGAAGGTAACTAAAGCCCAGGGAAATGCCCGAGCTCACCTGCCGAGGCCAGGGCGAAGCCTCGATTCAAACCCAAGACTGCTGACAGGTGGGTCTCACTATGGCCCCCTGGGATTAGCAGAGCCAGCAGCCCCTGGGAGGTGGGTACAAATGCACATTTTTAGCCCCGACCCAAACCTACCGAATCACAGACTCCCAGGTTGGGGCCCAGCAATCGACGTTTTATTAAGCCTCCCTGGAGATTCTAGTGCATGCTCAAGTCCCAAGAATTGGGACCCTCTGCTATTTCCTAAATCTGGAAAACAGTTTCCAAAACTGGGCAGGGGGGAACCTTGGAAATGAGATAAGAACGTTCTTTTTATTTCTTTGAAAATGAATCAGAAATGAAACTGAGACAGAATGGCCTGCTTCAACTGAATTATTTCCTGAGGTCCACCCTATACTGTCACCCCCAGAGAGTTTGCCCCGCTGTTGGATCCCGCTTCCAGAGGGGAAGGTCCAGTCACTCGGATGTCTCTGTCCCCGCAGGAAGCTCTGTGAGGGCAGGGGATGGATCTGTCCTCTGCTGTAGTCAGGGAGTACAGCATGTTGGAGGTACTCAACTTGTTCAACAAGGCTCATTGGAATGTTGCCTTGACGAGCATGCCTCAGCAGCCCCTTCCCTGTGCCAATTCTTATGTGGGCACTGGAGTTCCAGAGACAGGACTGACAAGGGTGTCTGAGGGGCTCTGAGTCTGGTGGAGGCCGCTGGAGGAGTTGGACCTTGTGTGGTTAAGGGTTAGGAAAGCCGGCAGCAGGAGGCCAGACTGGGTGGGCTGGGGGTGCGGGGAGCAAAAGGAGAGCGTGGCTGATGCAATCTCAGCGGAGGATAGTCAGGGGTGACACCTTGTATTAACCAGAGTCTCCAGAGAAACGGAACCAATAGGATGTGTGCGTGTGTGTGTGTGTGTGTGTGTGTGTGTGTGAAGAGATTTATTATAAGGAATTGGCTAACATGATTGTGATTGCCGGCAAGTCCCAAGATTTGCAGAGGGAGTTGGCCCATTCAAGACCCAGGAGAGCGGATGGTATCATTCCAGTGTAAAGCCGGGCAGGCTGGGGAGCCAGGAAGAACCAAGGTTTCAGTTCATGCCTAAAGGCAGGAAAAGACTGATGCCCATCTCCACCAGTCAGGTGGGAGGAATTCTCTCTTACTCAGACTTTCAATGCTAGTCAGGCCTTGGACAGATGGGACGAGGCCCAGCCCACACTGGGCAGGCAGGAGGCAATCTGTTTTACCCAGGTTATCCATTCAAATGTTAGTCTCATCTAAAAACACATGCACGGCCACGCCCAGCATGTTTGACCAAATATCTGGGTACCCCATGGCCCAGTTAACTTGACACGTGAAATTAAGCATCCCAAGCTGAGGCTATCAGTGATAGAGGATGAATGACGGTTTGCCCGGTGAGGAAGGGCACCGGGAGGGGAGGGGGTAGCACCTGCCAAGGCTGGGAAGTAAAGGGAGCACTGCCCGTTTGGGGAACAGTATACTCGCTGTTCAAAATGATGCTTCAGGGTAGGATGTGGGGAGCCCCAGGGTCCTGGGCTGGGCTTAGACAAGCCGCAGGTTGCACAGGACAGCGGGGCCGGGCTCGCTTGGCCGGGCTGGGTTCGAGCTGCAGCGGGGCCCTGTGGAGCTGTCCAGGAGGCAGCCAGCTGGGCTGGAGGGCAGCAGAGAGGTCTGCGCCACGGTCGGAGCTGCGGAGGCGTCAGGAGCCTCTGCAGGGCTCTGAGGACCCGGGAGGGGGTGAGAGAGTCGGGAGGAAGGTTCCAGAGGGGAAGAGAAGGATGGTTATGTGAAAACCGTGACCCTCACAACTCTCAGTCGGCATTCCAGGAGGGCCTCTGGGAGCTGGCCCGTGAGGCCTCTGACGCTGGGCCAACTCCTTCCCAGCAGGGGCAGGTAGCAGGTTGTCGGGGAGCCAGGAGGCAGCTCTTCGGGGGCTGGCAGTGGCTGTGCTCCCCAGTCCCCCATTGCACAACTGTCAGGAACCAGCCAGAGTGGACTTCCCAGTGGGGCCAATCCTGTGTTTGCTCTGTCCACAATGAATCAAGCCACCGCCACGGACAGTCACATTCCACCAATGACCAGCCACCCCGTGCTGGGAAAAGGACAGAGGGGCAAGCAAGAAGGGGAGAGGCCAGCAGGTGGATTCCAGTCCCAGCTTCCTGACGGGGACGTGGTCTTGGGTGGCTCATTCCTTCTCTCTGGGCCTCAGTTTCTCCCTCTGCAAAATGCGGGAGCTAAGCCCGTCCCTGCTGGCTACCATAGACCGAGATCTTGTTCTGTAATAGCGGGGCGAATCGTCTGACACTGAATGGTATTCAACTGCTCTATAAAAATGCAGTTTCATATGGTTCAATCCAATACTCAGCACAGCACCTTTCAAAATAATAGCTACGGTGTCTTGCACACTTATTGTGAGCAGGAGCCCTACTGAGTGTGATACGTTTTCATCTCATGCACAACCCTCTTGAGACACGTGTTACTACGCCAGCTCTTCAGATGAGGGAAGCCAAGTCCAAAGAGGTTACATAAGTTGGCCAAGATCACAAAACAGGATTTGAACATGAGCAAATCTTTTTGAGTGTTTCCTCAGCCCAGACACAAAGTTCCTGATTAGGATCATTGGCTCTGCCAATGTATTCTTTGTGGCTGTTCATGCAGAAGACCACAAATTAGTCGTCAGACACAGAGCTCAGCCCTGGCCTCGATGGAGAAACACATATAAAGTGGCTTTCTCAGAAGACGGATCCTTTCAAATGGGTGCAGTCCCCTGATGATCTAAATCTCGCCTTTCACCTGACTGCTCTGAGCTATTTGTTTCCTTATCCATTCAATGGGGAAAGTATATTATTTTCTTGAACCTCTTATCGACATATTTTTGCATTTTGATGTCTTAGATGTGGGATGTAACCTGCCATCCCGGAAATGTTTATGGAACGCAGGAGTCTGTCTGTTTTTTCTCCCTATCCCAGCTCAACATTAAACCGACGGTGATGGTTCTTATGGCTGGTGGACTCTTAGAAACAAGTGTGTCTCCTTTAACGAGCACGTTACAAATGTGAACTGATTTAATCTGCTTAATAACCTGATAAAGTAGCTACTCTCCGTATCCCCCATTTTATAGATGGGGAAATCGAGGCACAGAGAAGCTAAGTAACTTGCCCAGGGTCACACAGCTA